TCTATGTGGAATTATATCGGCCGTTAGGAATTTTCAAAACGTGTTGCAAAAAATACTCGTAGAAGGTAGTCTAATTTTCAGACCCTTGTACCGCATAGTCGTACATGTATGTTTTGTGCCGAGTAAAGACTCGATAAGTTGAATTTCGATCATTATAAGATGCGGGTCGTTGATGTGTACAAATGATAATGTACTCTTTACAGCTAATTTTATCTATGTTATTAACAAATTTTAAAAAGTCATTCAGTCACTCAACAGTGTCTGACATTGAAGTCTGAGTGAGACGGTTTTCCTTGCATAACTAGGTCATTGCAAACCGTTAAACATTTAAATTTCACAGACAGGCATACGTGACATCATTTCTCCTGCAAAGTTCTATAGCATTTGATGTTGGCTTCAAAACGAATACACTAACTTTAACACAAAGTTGACACCAAAATTTGTGCGCACATACAATACACAAATACATGTACTGTATGTCGTAGTCTTTAGATCTTTATCAATTTATCTTGACATTTTATCTTGATACCATCCATAATAATCTGTTTGGAGACAAAAGGGCATTAACTCATGAATTTTAACACCAGTTAATTCTCCTCCGGCTCTCTACAGATGAATTAATTCTTTTGGTAATGACATTTATCTTGAGACTTACCTAGATACCACAATGTTTTGCATGTATGTACAAATCATTATGTCCAGGTATGGTGCATTCTTTAGATCTTTATCTATTATGTTCTTGCCTGATCCATAGTTATCAAGTAGATCATCTTAAATTTCTGCAGTGAGTGTTGTTTTTTTTACATTCTCCTGACCAAGAAGTACTGTTCATAACGTCTTTGTTTTTTAGTTAAGATCAAGAGGTTTTGAAATATACTTGTGATAATTATCTTACCGGGCACATTCACACTGAGTGACGGGGACTCATCTCATCCGTTCTTTGGCGTGGAAAATATGCCGAGTCACGAGGCCTTGTCAAAAGGCTAGGATTACATATAAATGATGATATTTGTAGTAGTTCAAATATGTTCATGAATTATTGTAACGTTTTTGTTTCAACCTGGGGAGGGAATAAGGGTGAGTTTAAGCGACACTTTTTTACCCTAGAAACACGGTTGTCAAAGACGTTTAGTTTAAAAATAAATTGGTCGGTCGTAAAAATAAACGTGTTTCAAAATGCAAACATGAAACGCTGAAAAAGATGCGTTTCGTATCATGATTCTGCAGAATCTAAAATCGCTTGAAAGAACAGAGATCTCAAATATAATTCTATAACGTCATTATCATGGCTTGCTTCTGGTTTGGCCGACATAAAGCACGCGGCGAAGTTGACTTTTACTTCCTGGGTCAAACCGCCCAATGTGATGAGCAGTGGCTGAACTTGAAATGAGCTAGAATCAGCATCGATGAAAAATCGCTTGAACGCTCTCCCGCAGTAACCATGTTTATTAACAGCGTTTTGATTTGTGATTCATGTTTGTGATTCTAGCTTGCCAAAAATCGCTTGAACGCACCCTAAAAGCAACCATAAGGCTGGTGTCTGGATGGAGCCAGGGTCGATGCTAATGGAAGCATAACAGATCAGGGCCGTAGGAATATCTTCTTTACCCCAAGGATATTATCTCGTTGTACTCAGAGCATGAATTTTGTATGTATGTGTAATACATGAATTGAAATGAACTGTGCCTTTGAGCATGCATTTTGCATGTTCTAGGCATCGACCATTGTGGCGAAGATCTCCTTAAAGAGAAAGTTCAGTTTTGGTTATGGTGAAAAGTTATGAGCTGTCTTATTCTTTTTATTCCTTTGTGGAAAGATATTGTAGTATGACTCTTGCAATTAGCATGCTTCCAGAAATGTAGAAAGTGTTTTAAAAGCTTTGAATAATGATCATGAGGTCAGGGCATGCGATGGCTCAGTAGTAGATGCACTAGTGCCCTTTGGTATGGCATTAATCTTCATTACCAATTCCCTCGGAGAGGACTTAAAAGCGGTCGGTCCCTTGGTTCCTTACTAGTACTTACAAGCATACACATAGATTCTTAGCAGTCAGGTAAAAATAAACAAACATATTCCTAAAGAACCAATGTGCATCCATAAATATATCTCTTATCCTATTTCAAAGCCTTGTCTTTCCTACTGCATGTACATGTAGCTTACATGTGGGATGATACCCTTTGACCTTTCAAGAGAGATCACATCACCCAACTAGTACATTACATGTCGATGTAGATGTCCGCTGACGTTGACACACATCTTAACTTGCCTGAGACATGCCTGTGTCATCCTATAGCATAAGATCTATGGAACCCAAGATCTATTCCAGAGTGTATAGTCTCTTTACCAGACACTTGTCCCTGACGTAGCAATCACTGAGTTATAGTTCTAGTAGTGGTAATATAAATTTGTTAACACACTGGTGAGTTAAAATGGAAATAGAAATAATCAGAGATATCCATTTTGATGGTTTTTCATGAAGGATTTGTTTTCTACTTAAAAAGGGGTGTAATAGATGAATGGATGTGGGGCCAACATATGAACATTTGTTAGAGGAAAACTATTTCAAAGTTTTGAACTTTAGTTTCTTTAGCCATATTTATATGAAATCTTTCAGCCTGTTGATCAACAAAACTACTTAAAGTGATATGTTTATTACTCTTATATATTATTTTTCTATCCTTACACTTAAAAACTGAAAGTTTGAAGAATAAAAGTTACCATAGACAAGAATCTAGACTCATGATTTTACTATGAGAAATAGAAATTAAATTGGATGTAATTATTCTTTCCAACATGTTGCAGTCCATCTTTTCTTTGCATCGCATATGTTTCACAATGTGTATTTCGTAATGGAGGCATGAAGAAATAAATTCATGAGATGTACTTGAACGAAGGAGATATCTTGGAGACCAAATGACACGTCTCTCCTCTCTTAGCCGGCCATCACGGATCATGTTATCAATTGCATCAGACAGGAATGGTCCTAAGATACCCCCAAGAACATCTCCGTCGTCAACCTAAAACAAATATCTCGCCAGTTTACGGCCTCCTGCGAGGTAATGGCGATGGGGATAAATTAGCGATATATTATATACGTGGGGCCTCTGCTCACGTTTGCGCTGGGGCTCGCACACAAATGGTCGTCGTCGTTCGAGGGCAGAGTTGTCAAGGTTGGGAACGAGAGTCGTGTTTGCGAATTATTTTACCTTTAGTGTGTGTTGTGGGGGTGTTTTGTTGGTAGGTGCGAGGTATTAATAGGTGTAATGGATACCGGGAAGCAAAGGTGTGCGAGGAGAAGTGGAAGAAGGTAGAGAGAAAGAGAGAGAAGGGGTGGAGGAGAGAGAGAGAGAGAGAGAGAGAGAACAAATGGAGTGGAGTAGGGTGGGAATGTAAATAGATATAATGGATAATTGGAAGTAAAGGTGTGTGGGAAAAAGGTTTTCAGAGAGAAGACGAGAAAGAAAGAGAGGTGAATAAAAAAAAGTAAGAGAGAAAGAGAGAAAGAGAAAGAGAAAGAAAAGTGTGTGAGAGACAGACACAGAGAATGAAAGAATGGAAGATGAAGAAAAAATGTAAGGGGGGGGGGGAGAATTAGAGATGAAGAGGAAAAAAGGGGGTGGGGGAGGGATAGAAGAAAATTACAATGATTTTTTGATACATGAGAAGTCGGATCCAGAATCTCGACAAAGAAAAATCCCAGTTTGAAAACCTATATCAGTTATGAAATCTCTCCTTTCTCATCTTGTTTATCCTAACATATACCCAACAGGATACCCCCTTCCCGGATAAATAGATGAAAAAAAAGGAAGATAGTATGTACACTTTAATTAACTCGACACACGCTAAGAATGTCCCCGGCAGTCACCGCCATGCAAAGTCTTGACATTTGTCGTGTAAACCTAGTCAAACCTTGGGCTGGCCGGCGCGCCTGCTCGTCTTTGCGTCCCCGAGATTTAAAAGAGAAAATGTTTCATAGCGCGGTCCCTCGACGACGGCACTTCTTTTCTCCCGTTCACGTTCCAAGCGGGCTACGCAAACATTCTGAAAATGTCAGATCTCCTCAGAGCCGGTTTTTAATGTTCCCAGACATGATTTTATTTTTGGTCATACCCCGAAGCATGCCGTCATGTAACCTTTTGTGTTTACATGTTCAAACTAGAGACGTACAAAGTGGATCCTAAGAGTGAACATAGAATTTGTGTTCACACAATTACCTTTAAGATACTAGCTTATAGTACTTTGTGTTCACATGTAACAGTTTTGAAGTCACAGCTTATAACCGCCATCCATCTTTGTTCACACATGACGTTTGATTTGTACATGAAACGTCAAGACATGTCTTCTGTTGTGTTCATACTAAATATCGTGAAGGTAAAATTATATATTAGGATAAAGCCTGCATTCTTTTTGTTCACTCATGAAAAAGTATATGTGTTAATGTTTTATACTGGCTGCATCTTTTGTGCGCACACATAAAATGTAGAAGGCTTAAATTTAAATATAGGGCACTGTTTAAGTGCAAACTTAAAGGCATTTTAAAAACCGTAATACAACAGGTGAAGTTGTCATCTTCCTGTTCACACTTTTGTTTTTAAATTTACTTGATTTTGCTTGAGCGCTAGTTACTTTGGCAGCTCAGCTATGACCAGGGTAATATGTGTAAAGCGCCATGAGCGTCAGAACCTGACGGATATTGGCGCTTTATAAATAACCATATTATTATTATTATTTATTTCATTCAGTACTAATGCCAAACTAAAAGGATTACAAACATTTAAATTGCTAATATAAAAATCACTGCAAAATGTTCTACCCCAATGCTTTATGTTGTATAAAGCATACCTAAATATATGTTTTTGTCATGAGAGAGTGCTAAAACTGAATACAGCAAAGACCTAACATTCTATTATTTAATAGCCCCCTCATATTCATTACTTTGCTTGATTCACACGGATTTGTTTATAAGATGGATTTTTAATTTTATTTCCTTGTCTTTATAGTTGCTGAAGTGGCCTGGTGAACAGTGTGCAAGCTTTGTGTGCATTTGGAATAGGAGACACATGGACACTGAAAGTGGTAAGTTAAATTCTTGTCTTTAAAAGATATATATTTCCTTTGCCCCATTTTCAAGTTTTGTATTGTCCTCTGATCATATGTAGTCCCTGTAACCAGAAGCCAAATACTTTATGGCACAAAAATAGTAAACGTAGGCCATTTTTGCATCTAGATTTTTTGCAAATTTAAAGCTTATCTGCCGTAGTTTACAGGAGGGATTAGACCGCTCTGCAAGGTCACTGGACAGGTGGTTATCTCATCAACTCAGCTCTCAGTTAACATAAGAAAAAGAGGATCATGGGGGACCAATGGTCACCGATTAGGCATTGTTTGTTATATAGAGGGCGCAAGTAGCTACCAGTAGTGCAGTGGGCCTTTAAGGGAAAAAAATATGTTAGACAAATGTGATTTTTTTTTTCTTCTTCTCAGCGTTAAATTTCCACTAAGATTGACAACTCGCCTGTATTAGCTCCTAATGTATGCCTAAGTAAGATTATTTAAACCGTAGTGTGGTACAACCTGTAGGAAAGATTCCACACACACAACTGGCAAATCTTATGCTTGGAAAAAGAAGAGTTTCTTCATCATAAATAGGCAATTTTCGTATTGTAATCAAATTTAATGCACAAATCTTTGTTAAGTGTCTCGTTATTATTTCATTCACCTGTTACGAATAATTGTACTTCAAAAGTCAGAATGGGAATTGCATGCATAACATTTTGCTAGGTAGGGCAAGCCATATTGTTTGATCTACTTATCAACAATTAATGTATGCAATTCGCATTCTGACCATTGACATGCAATTATTTGTAACAGGTAAATGAAATAATTTGTAACGAGGCACTTAACAAATATTTATGCATTTAATTTCATTGCATTCCGAACCTGGTCCGTCAGTCCTGTTTGGTAGCCAAATGGCTGGCTAGCTATTTCATTTGACCAAGAAGATGCAGTATAATCCATTGAACTAGTTTCTCAACTACAGCAATAACGCAGCCTGCTAATTGCATCTTCAATTAGTGGACGGTTTTGTGGTCGGGCTAATTTTCCTGAATCTGATTTAGCAGGGTATTGTGAAATTTTGAGGAAATGAGGACGTACAAAATAATATAAGGGGGACCGTCTTGCCAAGACTGCCTTGGTCTTTTGTTTTAATCTTTATTCCATGTGTAATTAGTTGCATCTGGTCTGTGTTTTTGAGGAAATGAGGACGTACAAAATAATATAAGGGGGACCGTCTTGCCAAGACTGCCTTGGTCTTTTGTTTTAATCTTTATTCCATGTGTAATTAGTTGCATCTGGTCTGTGTTTTTGACTTATATGTATATGCTCCTATCGGAATTAAATAAATTAATTTGAAAAAGAATTTGGAACACAAAACAAATTATCCCTAATGACTTGGGCTAAGTTACATTAGTGCAGGGGGAAAGTTTCAAAATAAATGCATCTTCTTTATCTTGAACAAACTTGAGTTTGATATATTAGACAGATCATTGTTTTTTTTGGAGAAAAAAGTCTGATTTGAAGTTGCCAGGCTTCGTTAGCCCACCAGAAGCAATCTTTGCACAAGGAGATTGAGCTTGAGAAACAGGATAGTCTGATAGTTCCTTCATTCTTTACTGATGAAATAATCGGCTATTTCAAGAACAAGCCTGGGTGTGCTTGGAATAATAGCTGGAGCAAATTTCCCAAGAGCAGCGTTCCTTCACTGGGAATTAGTTTGAGCTAATTGTGGTTGGGCAAATATTTCCGGATCAGTTTTAGCAGGCTATTTTGATATCTTGCGGGAACGAGGAAGCGCCTATGGACCCTACTGAGTTAGGCAGGGTATGGCAGGGGGAAGTTTCAAATTGTGATTGTGTCGGCTAGTTATTAACAGCCGGGAGCAGAACTGACCCCATATAATCAGAATTACCCGGAGCAACTCGTACCTGTCACATCCATGCCACAGCCAAGTTTTTGTAATCTATCATTTGTAACTTACATAATAAAGCCACTGTACATGGACATGGACATGAAGGCTTCTCTTAAAGTGGAACTGCACTGTTTGTGGCTACTTGCGCCCTCTATACAGCCAACAATGCCTAAGCGGTACCCGTTGATCCCCCATGGTCCTCTTTTTCTTATGTTAATTGAGAGCTGATTTGATGAGAGAACCACCTGCCAGTGACCAAGCAGGGAGGTCTAATCCCTCCTGGCCAAACTAGTGCAGATAGGCTTTAAATTGTCCTATTTAATTTTATATACATTTTATACATTAACATTCTTTATACACTGTCAATGAAATGATTTATTTTAAAAGTTATTTCATAGAATTCCTTTGTGGATATATATATATATATATCGTCTGTTGAGATCATTAGAGCCAACAGGCCATACATAATAACAATAATAATATTCAGTTCTTGTATAGGGCATATCACATTATATAACGTCCCTATGCGCTTTCACGGAGCTTTGGAAATTATTACCCTAGCTTTAGCTCCGGCAGCCGTTATCAGTGCACAATACATTTCAAGGAATAATCCTACCAGGTACCCATTTACCTCACTCGTATACTTTAACACAGAGTAAATACAACAGGTGACGTTTTTTATATATATTTTTTTATAGCTTTACCATATTTTGTGAAAGTAATCGCTGAACATTTGAATAAATGCCTGAAATAGGAGCACAATACTGAAGTATGAGTACCTGTCGTGCATAAGATGTGCCTTACTGCTTAGTCACGATGGCCTGACGTAGCAGACGCGGGAGGTAGGAAATCAGAATATTTTGGGCAGCCCTCGGAGGTGGGGCGGCAGGCGAAGAAAGAGTCGTCAGTCGATTGTTAATCATTGGAAAATAGGTCGTTAGCAGGGTGTGAGTAATTGGAAAGATAAGCAGAGGAAACTATACAGGATGCTTGTTGACCTGGGAAGGAAGTAATATAAAAGAGAGAGGGAGAGAGAGAGAGAGAGAGTGAGAGAGATGAGAGAGATGAAAGAGAGAGAGAGATAGATACAGATAGAGAGATAGAGATAGAGATAGAGATAGAGATATAGATAGAGATAAATATAGAGATAGAGATAGAGATAGAGAGAGAGATATAGATAGAGATAAATATAGAGATAGAGATAGAGATAGAGAGAGAGAGAGAGATAGAGATAGAGAGAGAGAGAAAGAGAGAGTGAGAGAGATGAGAGAGATGAAAGAGAGAGAGAGATAGATACAGATAGAGAGATAGAGATAGAGATAGAGATAGAGATATAGATAGAGATAAATATAGAGATAGAGATAGAGATAGAGAGAGAGATATAGATAGAGATAAATATAGAGATAGAGATAGAGATAGAGAGAGAGAGAGAGATAGAGAGAGTGAGAGAGATGAGAGAGATGAAAGAGAGAGAGAGATAGATACAGATAGAGAGATAGAGATAGAGATAGAGATAGAGATATAGATAGAGATAAATATAGAGATAGAGATAGAGATAGAGAGAGAGATATAGATAGAGATAAATATAGAGATAGAGATAGAGATAGAGAGAGAGAGAGATAGAGATAGAGAGAGAGAAAGAGAGAGCAGGAGAGAGAGAGAAAAAGAGAGATAGAGAGGGGGAGAAAGAAAGAAAGACGGGAGATAGAGAAAGAGAGGGTGAGAAAGTGAGTGTGAGAGAGAGAGAGAGAGGAAGGGGAGAGAGGGGAGAGACAGGAGGGGGCGGGGGGCAGATAAGGGGAGGTGGGGAAGCCATAGAGAGGGGGAGAGAGAAACAAATGGAGAGAAAGAGAAAGAGAGGGGGATAAAGATATAAGGGAAAGACAGATATACAGAAAATTGCAAAAACAGATGGGAAAGAGACAAAGATTTGGAATGCAATAAAAAATAGAAAGAGATAGAGAGAGGCTTTTACTAAGATACTCTACTTTATTTTAGTAATAAGTTACATGAATATTCAGGTATTATGTAGTCATTTTATGTATTTAAAAAAAGCCTTCATTACATGTAGGTGTATTTGTGCAGTCGTCATGGTTACATTTCTTCCAAGCAGACTAATGGAACATTGCTTATGACTGGACTATTCTTATATATTCATTTCATTGACATTGCTTTACTGTTGATGAGGGGCATGTAGGAATTTTGATAGAATCAGACAAATAATTAAATAATGAAAATAATAATAATTATAGTATATAATAACATATAATATTTATCTTCTTCTTGCTACAATCACAACATGCCTTTAAATTGATACTTAGTATTCTTTGCTATGATCCAGACAGTCTGAAAGCATCTCTCTATCTCCCACATTCATGATCTTGCATGGATGCTTGCAAATCGTTTGTCGACACATCGAGGAGGCCCGGTCGGGGTAAAGTTGTTTCTAGATAAGCATCGCAATAATCTCTTCGGTGACCTTCTTATAACGGGACTTGGTATTAAAGCGTCATGCATTTTTACGCATGTATACGCACGCAATGTAATCAGACATAGTTCACACCTCATATTTGTCTAGGATTCGTGTATGTATTACTATATGCGTATGATATGTGCTGTCTGTATTGGGGCTGTTCTATCAGGTTTGAAGGAAGTAGACAAACATGGCACAGCTCTTGAACTTGAACATGACCTGAATTTCCACTTTCTAGATCCAACTTGACGAGAAACAAAATCAATTGAACAAGCAGAATGTATTTGATATTTCTATATCTCTCTTTCCTGCCATCTTTCTACCACTCTCTTTCTCCTCTCCCTCCTACTCTCCTTGTCTTTTTTCTGTCTTCCTTTCTGCCTCTCTCTCTTTCATCTAATGTTCTCCCCCTTTCTCTTCCCTCTACCCTCCAATCTCCCTGTCTCCCCCCTCTTACTTTCACTCTTAGAATATCTTTTCCACATTCTTTATAATACAATTACTCTCTTGCAGTCTTTTGTTTCTCTCCACACTCTCTGTCTGTCTGTCTCTCTCACTTGTTCTCTCTCTCTCTCTCTCTCTTTTGCTTTATCTCTCTACCCCTCTCATCAGCTCTCCATCTCTTGTGTGCAT